TTTCATGTCCTTCTAGTCTACATATGTTTGATTTTCTTTGCCTTATATTCAATATTGCCATTTTTTCTTTTCTTTTTCTTTGAGACGGAGTTTTCGCTCTGTTGCCCAGGCTGAAGTGCAGTGGCACGATCTCGGCTCACTGCAACCTCTGTCCCCTGAGTTCAAGCAATTCTCCCACATCAGCCTCCCAAGTACTGGGATTACAGGCTACTGCCGCCATGCCTGGCCAATTTTTGTATTTTTAGTAGAGACAGGGTTTCACCATGTTGGCCAGGCTGATCTCGAACTCCTGACCTCAAGTGATCTGCCCGCCTTGGCCTACCAATGTGCTGGGATTACAGGTGTGATCCACGGCGTCCAACTATCATTTTTGCTTGATTCTGTGTTTTCTCTTTTTCCTTTCTTAAGAGACGAGGTCCCACCATGTGCCAGGCTGGTCTTGAACTCAAGTGACCTTCCTGCCTCAGCTTCCCAAATGCTGGGTTTACAGGCATAAGCCACCACCCCCAACCCATTATTTCTTTTGTTTTTCTTTCTTTCTTTTTTTTTTTTTGGTGTGTGTATGTGTGTGTGTGAGACCGAATCTCACTCTGTTGCCCAGGCTGGAGTGCAGTGGCGCGATCTCGGCGCACTGCAAGCTCCGCTTCCCAGGTTCACGCCATTCTCCTGCCTCAGCCACCTGAGTAGCTGGGACTACAGGTGCCGCCACCACGCCAGGCTAATTTTTTATATTTTTAGTAGAGATGGGGTTTCACCGTGTTAGCCAGGATGGTCTTAATTTCCTGACCTCATGATCTGCCCACCTCGGCCTCCCCAAGTGTTGTGATTGCAGGCGTGAACCACCATGCCCGGCCTTTTTGATTTTTAAGACTATCCTCCTTTTTGCCTACTATTTCTCTTTAAGACGTTATTTGTTGTGTTTATTCATCCTGGTGTCTCTTGTAGTGTAATTTTATTTTATGAAATGATTTTCTTTTAATTTCTAATTCTTTCCTGAGTTCTATTACCTTATTTTTGTGATTTTCTATTTCTTTTTCTCTTGCTCTTTCACATCTTGTGTCATTTTAAAAAAATGTCTTTAGCTCGTTTTTTGCAGGGGGAGGAGAAGACAAAGTCTCACTCTGTCGCCCAGGCTGGAGTGCAGTGGTGCAGTGCTCACTGCAACCTCTGCCTCTCAGCTTTTAGCGTTCCTCCTTCCTCACCCTCTCAAGTAGCTGGGATTATAGGTGGACCCCACCAGGCCCAACTAATTTTCATGTTTTTAGTAGAGAGGCTAGTCTGGAATTCCTGACCTCAAGTAATGTGCTTGCCTCAACCTCCCAAAGTGCTGGGATTATGGTCATGAGCGACCATGCCTGGCCATTTAACTCATTTTGAAATGGTAGGTTATAAAGGCCAGGTGTGGCCATTTAGTTCATTTTGAAATGGTAGGCTCACGCCCATAATCCCAGCACTTTGGAAGGTTGAGGTGAGCAAACCACTTGAGATCAGGAGTTCCAGACTAGCGTGGCCAACATGGTGAAACCCTGTCTCTACTAAAAACACAAAATTTAGCTGGGCCTAGCAGCATCTGCCTGTAATCCCAGCTACTCTGGAGGCTGAGGCAGGAGGAGGATTGCTTGAAACCCTCAGGCAGAGGTTGCAGTGAGCCAAGATTGCACCAGTGCACTTCAGCCTGGGTGACAGAGCAAGACTCTGCCTCAGAAAAAAAAAAAAGGTAGATTTTAATGTTCATCTGTGTTATGGTCATGTCTTTCTGGCATACATTATCTGAGATTTATCATTTTGCAGGTTTTTTTTTCTTTTTGTACAATAGATATCTTTCTCTCTCTCTCTCTCTCTCTCTCTCTCTCTCTCTTTCTTTCTTTCTTTTTTTTTTTTTTTTTTTGGCAGTCTCGCTCTGTGACCCAGGCTAGGGTGCCATGGTGTGATGACAGCTCACTGCATCTTTAAGCAGTCCTCCCACCTTAGCCTCCCAAGGAGCTGGCACCACAGGCATGCACCATCGTGCCTGGTTTATTTTTTTGTAGACAAAGTTGTACTATGATACCCAGGCTGGTTTCAAACTCCTGGGCTCAAGTAATCCTCCCACCTTTGCCTTCCAAAGTGCTGGGATTACAGGCATGAGCCACCATGCATAGTCAGTTATAATCCTTTTTATGTTGCTCATTTTTATGTGAAAATTATTTTCCTAAACTTATATAAGAAAATATACTTGGGATAACTTTTCTTATTATACAGGGCTCCCTCTTCTGTTGTTTTGTGTAATATTCCCAAAAAGTGGCTTTTTTCAGAGATCTCCTGGCTCTTCTCTTCTGCTTTTTTCTGGTGCCTCTCTATCTCTCCCTCATCCTGCTCAGTTTGGATTCTGTTCCCAATATTTCTTCTCACTGTGGGACTTTGCACTGAAAAAAATGCTTTGGCTGGTTAGTTTTAAGAGGTCTTAGTGTCTAGATTACTCCAACCTCATGGTATTACAAAGAATTCCTTGTATTCACTTAGTATTAGAATGTATAACCCCTTATAGTTTCAGCTGCTTTTCTCTAGCTTCTTGCTATGCAGTCCAGTGAGTCCCTTTTGGCTGTTTGGGATGATTTTTTTCTCTGGTTCATCAGATCAATTGTAGCTTTCCTCTGCCTTCTTACACATAGATGCCAATATAGTGCAGATCTTACTGCTATTGATAGTTTGGCACTATAGGGTTTTTTTTGTTTGTTTGTTTGTTTGTTTTTTGTGATGGAGTCACACTCTGTTGCCCAGGCTGGAGTGCAGGGGCACGATCTCGGCTTACTGCAACCTCCACCTCCCAGGTTCAAGTGATTCTCCTGCCTCAGCCTCCCAAATAGTTGGGACTACAGATGCATGGCACCACGCCTGGCTAATTTTTTGTATTTTTTAATAGAGACGGGGTTTCACCGTGTTGGCCAGGCTGTGCTCAAACTCCTGACCTGAAGTGATCCACCCACCTCTGCCTCCCAAATTGCTGGGATTACAGGCATGAGCCACCACGCCCGGCCTAGTTTTTGTTTTTTAAGTGGCTTATTTTTACTTTACAAATGCTTACTTACAATAAGGAAATAATGGTCTTTTTATGCCGCAAACACTTCAATAGCTATATAGAGATACATTAATTTTATTAGACTATAACAGCATCTCAGTCTTTTTTGTTTTTAATGACCTAAAATTTTATGTATTTATCATGTGCAACGTGTTTTGAAGTATATATACATTATGGAATTATTAAATCTAGTTAATGAAAAAATGCATTAGTTTACATAGTTATCATTTTTTGTGATGAGAGTGCTTAACATTCACTCCCTGTGTTTTTCAAGAATCCAATATGTCATCATTAACTAGAATCACCATATTGTGCAGTAGGTCTCTTGAACTTATTCTTTCTATCTAACTGTAATTAGGCATCTTTTGGCTTTGGCCAATGTCTCCCCAAACTCTTCTGTCTTCTAACTCCCCCACCCAGCCTCTGGTAACCACCATTCTTCTCTCTACTTCTGCGACATCAACACTTTTTAGAATTCACATATGAGTGAGATCATGCTGTATTTGTCTTTCTGGACCTGCCTTATTTCACTTAACATGATGCCCTACAGGTTCATCTGTGTTGAAAATGACAGGATTTGCTCCTTTTCAGTGGCTGAATAGTATTCCATTGTGTATATATATCATATTTTCTTTTTTTACTCATGTGTGTTTTTCTTTTTCTTTTTTTTTTCACTTTTTACACATCTGTTTTTTTATTTTTATTTCTTTTAAGCTAACATACAAGAAATGAACACTTATCTGTTAATAGATACTTAGGTTGATTCCATATGTTGTCTATTGTGAATAGTGCTGCAACAAACTTGGACATACAGGTATCTCTTAATCACACTGGTTTCATTTCCTTTGGATGTATACCCAGTAGTGGGACTGCTGGTAGTTCTGTTTTTAAAAAATTTTTAAGAGACCTCCATGGTGCTTTCCATAATGGCTTTACTAATTTATATTCCCACCAACAATGTGTGTGGATTCCCTTTTCTTTATGTCTTTTGTCTGTTTGATAATAGCTATTGTAGTAGATACGAGGTGATACCTCATTGTGGTTTTGTTTTTTCATTTTCCTGATGATTAGTGATACTGAGCATTTCTCATATATTGTTGGTCATCTGTATGTGTTCTTTTGAGAAATGTTTGTTCAGGTCTTTTGCCCATGTTTTAATTGGGCTATTTGTTTCCTTGCTGTTAAGTTGTTTGAGCTCTTTTTTTTCTTTTTTCTTTTTTTTTTTTTTTTTTGAGACAGGGTCTCATTCTGTTGCCCAGGCTGTAGTGCTGTGGTGTAAACATGGCTCACTGCAGCCTTGAATTCATAGGCTCAAGTGATCCTGGAGCTACAGGTGCATGCCACCATACCAGCTAATTTTTAAAATTTTTTGTAGGGAGATGATCTTGCCATGTTTCCCAGGCTGGTCTTGGACTCCTGGGCTCATGTGGTCCTCTCACCTCTGCCTCCCAAAGTTCTGCAACTACAGATGTGAGCTACCACACCCAGCCAAATTGAGTTCTTTATATATTTTGTATATTACTCCCCTAGCTGATGTATAGTTTGTAAATATTTTCTCCTATTCTGTAAGTTGTCTCTTCACCCTGTTCATTGTTTCCTTGGCTGTGCAGAAGGTTTTTAGTTTGATGTAATCCCATTTGTCTGTTTTTGCTTTTGTTGCTTGTGCTGTTGAAGTTATATTAAAAAATTCAATGCCAAGAACAATGTTGTGCAGCTTTTCTCCTGTTTTCTTCTAGTAGTTTTGGGTCTTACATGTAAATTGTTCATCTATTTTGAGTTGATTTTTGTGTAGTTGAGAGATAAGGGTTTAATTTTATTCTTTGGTGTGTTAATATCCAGTTTTTCCCAGCACCGTTTATTGAAAATACTGTCCTTTCCCCATTGTGTATTCTTGGCACCTTTGTTGAAAATCAGTTGGTTGTAAATATTTTTTTTCCCTGGGCTCTCTGTTCTGTTTCATCAGTCTGTGTATCTGTTTTCATACCAATACCATGCTGTTTTGGTTACTGTAGCTTTGTAGTATTTTTTTGAAGTCAGGTAGTATAATGCTTCCAGCTTTGTTCTTTTTTCTCAAGATTGCTTTGGCTATTTAGGGTGTCCCTATGGTTTTTGTTATAGATATTGTCCATGGGTTTTTGGTTTTGCTATCTAGTTGCTTTATTATTAGAGAAATTTGATGAAATTCAACAATCATCCCACCACTGTCTTTTTTTTAAATTGTGTTACCCTAAATCTGTGGGTTTTTTTCCACTCACTGTTACAGAGTGTGAATCACTTTGCAGTATTTCATTTATTAATCAAAAGTGTTATTTTAAATCACAGTATAATGTCATAGGTATGTATCATGAATTGCTAAACCATTTACTAATAAATAGCATTTGTATTCTTTATAGGTGAATGATTCAATAAATCATGCTACTATAATTAATGCTGTCATGAACATTTAGACATTCTTACTTTCTTTAATGGTTGCATTTTCAAAAGATTCAGTAGAAATGATAAGGCACCTATTTTTTGTGTTTTAGCATGCTTCATGATGATCCAAGCAGAAGAATTCCTGCTGAAATGGCATTGTGCAGCCCATTCTTTAGCATTCCTTTTGGTAAGTTGTATATTCTTTTATTTTTTTCCTGGTCATTTGACAGTCATTCAAGACATCCGCACTAATTTATATTCCCAAGTTCCTTTATCTGGTGTTCAACTTATTTGGGGGGATTTACATTTAACCATATTATGATGAATTTTAACAGCCCCTCATATTGAAGATCTGGTCATGCTTCCCACTCCAGTGCTAAGACTGCTGAATGTGCTGGATGATGATTATCTTGAGAATGAAGAGGAATATGAAGGTTAGTGTTTTCTAAATTATAATGTGTCTTTCTTAAATAAGTCTGGAATAAACATGTCTATAACATTTTCATATTTTCCAGTTTATCTAATGAGAATATTGAACAATATGATCTCTAATATACTCTCACTTTTTTTTTTTTTTTTTTTGAGGCAGAGTTTCACTCGTTGCCCAGGCTGGAGTGCAGTGGCACGATCTCAACTCACTGCAACCTCTGCCTCCTGGATTTAAGCCTCAGCCCCCCAAGTAGCTGAGATTACAAGCATGTGCCACCAGGCCCGGCTAATTTTGTATTTTTAGTAGGGATGGAGTTTCACCATGTAGATCAGCTGGTCTCGAACTCATGGCCTCAGGTGATCCACCAGCCTCAGCCTCTCAAAGTGCTGGGATTACAGGTGTAGCCACTGCGCCCAGCCCTCTCACTTTTATATTCATAATGTCCTTTTGACTCTTTCACGTTTCATCTTTACCCAGTTAATGAAGAAGATTAACTTCCCAACAGCTTCTATCTGTCTGATCTGTCTCTTCTAGCCTTTCCCTATGCTTGTGTTTCTCCATTTTAGTTCTCTTTTTTGCTTTTAGCATTTATTCATTTAAGACATATTAACTGAATATTTACTATGGGATTACTTCCCATCTTTAGTATAGTAGGGGAGACAGCTACATAAACAATTATAGTTGTGATAATCTGAAGATAGGGTACTATGCAATGGCAGAAAGGACAAGTACTTAACCCAGTCTTAGTAACTGGTGAATGCTTCTCTACAGATGTTATATCTGAGCTCAGTAATTTGGAGTTGCTTGGCTAAAAGTTGAGGGATTAGGAAGTAAGTGGCACAAACAGAGATGAAAGTGTCAGAAAACAGCAAATTAGTATGACTGTATCTTAAGATATTTGTTGGGGAGCAATCAGTTAAAGCTAATGAGGTAGTCAGAGTACAGACCAGTTTGCTATGTTTAAGAATTTGGATTTTATCCTAGAGATGGTAACACCAAAATACAGATACGTGAAGAACTTTGCATCAGGTATAGAATAACTTATGGTAAGTATTCAATACCTATCTATTCTTTGTTGAATGCAGTAAAGAGTTTATTAAATAGTTTTAAATGGGAGAATGACATAGTCAAACTTGTATTTTAGTAGGGACATTTTGGAAACAGAGAGGGAGTGGGCTAAAGCAGGGCCAAACTTAGACCAAAGACAACAGCTATGAAGCATTTGCATCGACCTATTGTTACTACTACTAGAGAGACAATTTTATGTAGCGATTAAGAGTGTAGACTTACAAAAATTAGCTCGGCGTGGCGGCACATGCCTGTAATCCCAGCTGCTTGGGAGGCTGAGGTAGGAGAATCGCTTGAACCCAGGAGGCGGAGGTTTCATGTCCCGACAGAGTAGTGAGAGAACTGTAATTTCTTTGAGTCTGTGACCATTTTAAGAGTCTTGAGTTTTCATGTTGTCTATCTGAAAGAAAGTCTTGCCCTCAAAATTGTTTCAGGTCATGAAGGTACAATGACTCTGAATTTCCTGGAATCAGTTCAAAATACTACTTATGTCTTTTTAGTCTTCATCTTTGTGAAGACCTGCTGTCGTCATCACCTCATTCTGTCTACTCCAAATAATTTTGATATCTTTAAAACTGAAGCTTGGCCTTTTTTTGAATAAACCTTTAGACTACCATATAACTCTTCTATCTTGCTGTGACTTTTTTTCTGCTTTGAAATACACTGAGTCTTTACATTTTGTTTAAATGTTGCTATTCAATCTTAGTGTTTAAGAATCTGAAGTGAACTAAAGTGCAACAGACAATATATGGTACCATTAAATACCTTTGTTACTTTTGATGAACAGGGTCATCATGAAATAACAAGTTTCTTAGCTAGAAATTATGGTATGTGTTGGAACAGCTGTCTTGTAATCTTGAGAGAGGCAGAGAAGGAAGTTAAACCTTACATTATAGACCAAATTAAATTTCAAATCAAGTAAAGATTAAAATACTAAAACAAGGGAATGAAATAGGGAAGGAGGGAAAAGAAAGGGATGAGGGAAGGAAATAGGGCAGGTGGGAAGGAGATAATTTTTTAATATAAAAAGACATTGTATAATTTTGTTTTTTAATATTCCTGAAGTTGGAAAGGCCTTTTTTGAATATGGCAAAAAACTCAGAACCAGTATAATAAGCATTGAACAAAATCAATCCTGACAAAAATAACTCTAAGAAAGATTAAAAGACAAAGGATACTTTAAAGAAAAAATATTTATAGCTCTTACTACAGTTTATGGAAAAGGAAGTAGACAAGTCTTTTACACATATGCTTTTATTCATTATTATTATGGAAATGCTCATTAGAGCCAAACTGCAATATCTTTGTTACCCATCAACCACATTGACAGTGATGAAACATTTGATTATCCTCTTGTGGGTGAGGGTATAAGGAAACAGACATTTTTGTACCTTGCTAGAGAAAGTTTACATTGGTAAACTTTTATGGAAAGCAAATTGGAAAAATTACAAATTTATGTCAATTTTGACCCAGCATTTCTGTTTCTAGAGTGTCAACTTAGAAATACACAAGTGAGGCCGGGCATGGTGGCTCATGCCTGTAATCCCAACACTTTGGGAGGCCAAGGCAGGTAGATCACCTGAGGTCAGGAGTTTGAGACCAGCCTGACCAACATGGTGAAACCCTGTCTCTACTAAAAATGCAAAGATTAGCTGGGCGTGGTGGCACACGTCTGTAATCCAAGCTACTTGAGAGGCTGAGGCAGGAGAATCGCTTGAACCCTGGAGGTGGAGGTTGCAGTGAGCCGACATTGTGCCACTACACTCCAGCCTGGGCAACAGAGCAAGACTGTTTCAAAAAAAAAAAAACAAAAAAAAAGAAAGAAATACACAAATGAAATGAGATATGCCTGGGGGGAGTTTAATGGTAAAAGTTTGGAAGTTGTCTAATCAGTACTGGACATATTAGATAATATATTGAACATTCGTAGAATAAAATATTTCGTAACCATAAAAACAAATGAGAAAATTTTATGTGATAATTTTATCTTAAAGGACATATTTAATATAAAAAGCAAGGTATTTGCTTTTATAATTTCATATTTGCTTGTATATAAGTTTATAATAATTATGGCAGAATACAGAAGAAATTGGCTGGACACGGTGGCCTCCCAGCACTTTGGGAGGCTGAGGTGGGCGGATTGCGAGACCAGGAGTTCAAAAACAGCCTGGTCAATATGGTGAAACCTTGTCTCTACTAAAAATACAAAAATTAGCCTGGTGTGGTGGCACCCGCCTGTAGTCCCAGCTACGGGGGAGGCTGAGGCAGAAGAATCGCTTGAACCTGAGAAGCGGAGGTTGCAGTGAGCTGAGATCGCGCTACTGCTCTCCAGCCTGGGCGACAGAGCGAGACTCTGTCTAAAAAAAAAAAAAGAAACTGATCATTATGTGTTGCCTTCAGGGAGAGTAGAAGGTGGCAGACTATTATTTAAAATTTTGAATCAGTTGAATGTCAACTATTCAAGACATAAAATGACCTCATTACTAGTTATGTATTCCTGAATTCTTTGATGATTAAAAAATTTAAAATGTTGAATACTTGTTTATTATATCAGAGCAGTTACTGTTATATGTTTTAATAATCAGATGTTGTAGAAGATGTAAAAGAGGAGTGTCAAAAATATGGACCAGTGGTATCTCTACTTGTTCCAAAGGAAAATCCTGGCAGAGGACAAGTAAGTGAATATTTTCATAATTACAGAATTACTCAGAGGTTATTAAAATTCTGTGTTAAATGTTTTAGTTCTGTAGGAAGATGTACAACAAAATTTTGCTAAGGATTATGAGTTTTGCATTTTAATGATTCATATATTCTGACTTGTACTTTTTACTTATTCTAAAAGTTCTATAATATGCTTGCATTTTTTTAGCACTTAAAATTTTTTTTTTCTTTTTAAATATTGGCTGGGTGTGGTGGCTCACGCCTGTAATCCCAGCACTTTGGGAGGCTGAGGTGGGTGCATTACTTGAGGTCAGGAGTTCAGAGATGGTGAAGCCCTGTCTCTACTGAAAATACAAGTTAGCCAGGCGTGGTGGCACACACCTGTAATCCTAGCTACTTGGGAGGCTGAGGCAGGAGAATCACTTGAACCCAGGAGGCAGAGGTTGCAGTGAGCCAAGATCCTGCCACTGCACTCCAGCCTGGGCTGGGAGAAATGAGTGAGACTTCGCCTCAAAAAAATACTACTTTTGGCTGGTGCGGTGGCTCACGCCTATAATCCCAGCACTTTGGGAGGCCGAGGCAGGCGGATCACAAGATCAGGAGTTTGAGACCAGCGTGGCCAACATGATGAAACTCTGTCTCTACTAAAAATACAAAAAATTAGCCCGGCTTGGTGGCGCATGCCTCTAATCCCAGCTACTCGGGAGGCTGAGGCAGAGAATT